GTTCTGATTCCCCCAGAGTGAAGAGACTCATTAACACCTCAGTCATTCAAGCTGAGAAACTAGAGAGGCAAAAATCACATCTTTGTTTTTTCAGAATAACATTTTATTTCAGCGAATTTCTCTCTCCAACAGTTTTCACCTAATATCTTATAATCTATAACTGTAATAACCCCAAATTTCAAAATTTTAGGTTAGATGAAAACATCTTTTTATACATTATTCTTTTAAGATTTTATTTATTTATTTGACTCAGAGAGACACAGCGAGAGAGGGAACACAAGCAGGGGGAAGTGGGAGAGGGAGAAGCAGGCTTACCGCGGGGCAGGGAGCCTGATGTGGGGCTCGATCGCAGGATCCTGGGATCATGGCCTGAACCGAAGGCAGACGCTTAACGACTGAGCCACCCAAGCGCCCCTATACATTATTCTTGAATAATAATTTAGCTGGTATACGATTGAAAATTGAGTTATTATTTCTTAGTGTTCAGAAGATATGATTCCACGGGTTTTGGTCTTCGTCTTCACTGTTGCTGTTGAAATATCTATTCTCGGTCTAATTGCCATTTCTTCTTCTCCTTTTTTTTTTTTTTAAGAAGGCTCCACACCCAGTGTGCAGTCCAACACAGGGTTTGAACTCATTACCCTGAGCTCAAGACCTGAGCTGAGATCAAGAATCGGACCCTTAACTGACTGAGCCAGCCAGGTGCCCCAAAATGCCATTTCTTTATAGCCAAGCATTCTTTTGCTTGCTGTTGTTGAGATATATTTTTTTGGTCTTTGAGTACTAATGTGTTTAGGCATGGCTTACCCTTTCCTCTTATTTCCTAGTTTTTATTTCTTTTATTGACTTCCTCTTATGCTGCTAGGGATTAAAAATTAATTTTGGAAAAAATTCATCCTTTATCTCTTTGTTTATTGCCTCTCCTCCATTACCTATATTATCTCCTTCTTATTTTATCTTCCATATCTCTTACTGCTCCTTAACACTTTTTCCTCTTTGTCTTTCTGTGCTACATTCTGTGTAAATTTGTGGCCTTTATCTTCCACTTGACTAATTCTCTCTCAACTATCTAATGTAATGTTTAACCCACCTCTAAGAAAAACCACATCTTACAGTAAGGTCTTCTTTAAACATGCTCTAACAGAAAGTAAAATAAAGATGTAACACTTGCATGGGTGAAAGAATTTGGAATTTGAGTCCTACCACATTAGAGAGGCTTGATAAATACTTTGAACACACAAATATCTACCCTAACAAAGCATAAGATAAAGTCTATACAAGTTCAAAATGACCAGTTCATAACTAAACTGCCTATAAGAACAAAGAACACACTCAAAGGAGAGGGACAGAAGAGAATTTAGTCGTGCTAACAAAAAATATCCAGTATAAAATTGAAAAATTACTGGACATGCACAGAAATATAGTTAAGGAAAAAAAAAAGCAGTCAACAGAAATAGATCCTGAGATGGCCCTGTGGTTTTACAACAGCAGTTATAAATATAATAAAGGAACATATGCACATTATGAGTGAACAGATGGGGGGAATCTGAGCTGAAAGGTGGAAATTATGAAAAAGAACCAAATGGGAATTCTATAAGTGAAAAGCATAGTAGATAAAAATTTAAAATTTACCAGAGGGTATTAAAAGATTGAAGATGACAAAAGGTAGTGTTAATGAACTTGAAAACAGATAATAGAGGGACGCCTGGGTGGTTCAGTGGGTTAAACGGCTGCCTTCGACTCAGGGATCGAGTCCCGCATCAGGCTCCATGCTCAGTGGGGAGCCTGCTTCTCCCTCTGCCTGACACGCCCCCTGCTCATTCTCTGGTGTGCTCTCTCTCTCTCTCTGACAAATATATAAATAAATAAATCTTAAAAAAAAAAAAAAAGAAAAGAAAACAGATAATAGAGATTAACCAATCTGACAAACAGAAAAAAAATACTGAAGAAAATTGGACAGAGCTTCAGTGAACTGTGGGATAATCAAATGGTCTAACATATGTATAACTGGAGACCCAAAGGAAGAAGAAATTGAGAAAAGGGTTGAAAAGTATTTAAAGATATGATAGCCAAAGTTGCCAAATTTAATGAAAAATATTAGCTTATAGAATAGAGAATCTTAACAAGCCTCAAATTGGATAAATACCAAACAACATCAACACAATAACAAACTATCAATGTCATACTGCTGAAAACTGAAGAGAAAGCAAAACCTCCAAAACAGTGAGAGAACAAAGAAGCATTATATACAGGGGACAACAGTCTACATTAAAGCTGACTTCTCAATGAAATGATGGAGGCCAAAAAAAAAAGGAAGCACAACTTTCAAGTGCTAAAAGAAAATCTGTGAACTCAATTCAGTATCCAGCAAAAATAATCTTCACAAATGAAGGCAAAATAAAGACAATTCCAAATAAACCAATACAGGATTTGTTGCCTGCAAATCCACACTAAACATGCTAAAGAATATTCTTATAGCTATAGGAAATTAAGACCAGATGGAAACTCAGATCTACAGAAAAGAATAAAGAGCACTAGAAATGGCAAATATATGACTTATTTTTTCTTCGCATAATTTCCCAATGATACAATTGACTCTTTAGATGTAATGCTGTAAGATGGGGGTTCATAATGTATATAAAAGTTAAAAGCTATGACACATACCAAGAAAATGAAGCTTCCTGTCTCCTCACAGGGCACATTAGTGAAGTTCCAATTTTTTTGTTTCATGCACTGAAAACCATGATCTTGACCAACCTTAATAGGGCAAGTCACTTGCCCATGATCACATAGCCAATTGGGACCAAATACCCCAAGCCAAACCTGTTGACTCAGAATACCAAAGAGCAGGTGGGGCAGAGAAAAGGTTTTTATTGGATCCCTCTGACATTCAACACACAATTTCTTGGGCATCCTTGGGCACACAGTCTGGCGCTCATTTAAGATTAGGCCAATCAAAAGAAGCGCATGAATAGAGAAAGACTGTGTAAGCTTGAAAAAGCAAGCCCAGTGGGACAAAGGGTGGTTTCCCAGCAGAGAAAGAAAACAAAGTATGCTAGAAACCCCTCTCGGGTAAAGATGAAAGTCTGGAAGAAAGGCAAGGCCAGGCAGTCTAAACAGCAACCTAGAAAGCCAAGGAAACAGCTTCTTCCCTAGCACCTCAATGACATCTCCTAATTCCTGACCTGCTGACCATGTCAACTGCACTCAGTACCCTCTGACCTACACAGGGGCCCAGCAGATGTTGTGGCCCTTCCCGGACAGCTCCAGCGAGTGATGAGTTCTGGTTTGCAAAAATGGGATTCCTGTGCACACGGAAAGAAAACAACGTAACTATAAGATACAGGCTCAAGGCGCCATTTCAGAACTGAGAGCTAAACTGGGTGAGTGAACTCTCAGCAGTAGAAAAGGGATGAGTAAGGGAAAGGAACCTCAGATCAGCAAAGCAGCACATGTCTACTTCTTGCTGGGTAGATGAAAAAATCTTCCCTGCCTGAAGCAATAGAGTATCTAGGAATAGAATCCAGCCTGGGGAAAAATGCCTGAAGTGTAGTAAACATCCACCCTCCCACTCCACCATCTACCTATTCTCAACTGTACAAAAAAGCAGACTTTCCTTGGAGGGATGTTGGAAAAGCCCATCTTTGTAGTGAGGTCCAATCCTAAGGCAAAGATCAGCTATGCCTGGCAGCTGCATGAGAAGTTTAAACTAGGTCAGATTTGAAGTTGTTAAGAGAAGCCATCAGTACCCAGTGAGACCAAGTTGCTATAGTTCCCCAGCAACGCCTGTCTGTAGAGGACTTGTGCAGGACTCCATAGCCTCCACATGTCCTAGATGAAAGCCACAACCACACCCCTAAACACTATGAAATCCTGTTATACCAAATAGTCCTCCTCACTGTTGTCAGACTTGCCTATGATTCAAAGTGAAGAAGCAAGAAAGCTGCCCTGAGAAAGGTAGGAAAAATGTCTTGATCCTGTTTTTCACTATAACCCTGTTGTGGGGATTCCAAGACTCTGGTCTCTATCCAACCAACATCATTTGTCTACTGTCTAGGTACTGGTCTGGTTACTATGGGATTTCCAAGCAAAGCAAAAATAGAATTCCTAAACTTGAAGTGCTTTAAACTTAAGAAAACTACACATGAAAATAAAACATAAATATAGAATCATAGTCAGATCTGAGTTTTAGGAATTTGGAGATTACTTGATCTAATGGTATTAGATTAAGGATCTGAGCCCCTGGATTACATTCTTGCTGCCTAGTGTGGTCTGAGGACAGAGTCAACATTATCTGGAAGCTTGTTAGAACTGCCGATTGAGCTCCACCCCAGTCATGCTGATTCATAATTTGCATGTTTACAAGACTCCAGGTGATAGGATGGACATTCACACCTGAGACGCACTGTGTTAAATGATCTACCCAGGTATGTGGGTTCAGCAATAGCAGTAACTAATCAAGAATGAAATTTTCTTTCCAAAATAGAATCTGTCCTCTACATTATCAGATGACACTTTCTCTTCGAGTGAAAACAGCTTTATTTACAAACAATGAATGCCAGGGGTTCAGGAAAAAGAGTTGGGAATTTGGTCTTGAAGGAGCTGCAAGATTTAGAAGTCAAGGAAGAGGAGGCAAGGTATTCCAGATGAGGTAGGAAGTGGGATAGACTGGGAGGGAAATATCGTAGGGAAAAAGGAGATAGAGAAGGGAGGCCAGGAGTCTTTTTAGAAAGCAGGGAACCCTCGGGATGCCTGGGTGGCTCAGTTGGTTAAGCATCTGCCTTTGGCTCAGGTCATGTTCTCAAGGTCCTGGGATCGAGTCCCACATTGGGCTCCTTGCTCTGCCTGCAGTTACCCCTGCTTGTGCTCTCTCTGACAAATAAATAAAATCTTAAGAAGAAAAAAATAGGCAGGCAATCCAGATTTTTAGATGGAAACTCCTAGTTATTAAATGCTAAGAACTCTTTCAAATATGAACCATAAGGCTGGCCAAACTAAACATCTGTATGCCACATGTGAACAGCCACACGGTATCCTTGCCTATATGCACAGAAAATCAGCCAGACACAAGACCATTTTTCCTTTGAAAACCTCCCTCACTGAGGCCAGGGAAGTTTACCCAGTGACTAGGCCTCTGAGACTCTGACTTCACTTCCTGCTCTCTTCCCACTGGCCGGTCCTTCTCCAACTCTTCCTCTCACCTACTCCCCTCAGGGAAGCTCAGGCAGTCTCTTATCCTGGAAGTCTTCCTTGTTTTTTCATCTCCAAGGCCCCTGGGATCCCAGCCATCTCCACCCTTGGCATACAGCAAGCATCACTGGACACTTACACATGGACGTCCCTGCATTGTTACTTTGAACCTCCATGGGTGTTAACAGCTAATTTCTTGGTGAATAAGTCATGGGTGGGGCAGAGAGGAACTGTCGATAGAGGGCTCCAAGTAAGACGAGGCACTTCTCCAGAGCCAGGGATGAACTGAATTCACTATGAACAAAGCAGCGGGGCAAAAGAAGGGGATGGATTCGTTTTCCGAAAGCTAAGAAGGAATTTTAGTAAATCCTTTTTTTCTCCCTACTTCAGGCCACGTGGACGTCCTAGAGAAGAACGAAATTTCTGAAAGCCTATCTGAGGAAGGTAAAGAGAAGTGAGAGGGTGGCCGGGTGTAAATACCCTCCCACGACTTCAGTGGAGCTTATTCTCCAGCTTCTAGACTGGGGTGTTCCTGACGGGCACCAACGCAATCCTGTTCTCAACCACAGCCCGGAACAAAGACCCAAAAAGCTAAGCCGACAGCGGCCTCTACCCCGAGCTACGGTCTAAGAGTGAGGTTCCTGTCCCCCAGGAGACAAATGAGAGTTTGCCAAAACTCTGGGGACTCCAACAGAGGAAAAAGGTCTCAGGGTCCCCGCAGTGGATATTTCGGGTCGAGGGCCTGTGCTCAGAATCCGGGTCTACCTCGCACCGGATGGGAGACCTCAGGAAGACTGCTCTGCGTCTCTCAGCTTCGCTCTCTCCATGGGCCTCAACGGAGTTAAAAGGGCACGTGAGCTGGACGAGACCACGCCTTGCCGGTCGCTCAAGGAACACGGGACGAAGGTGTGCCACACTGCAGCTGGAGAACCCCGACCTCACCGCCCCCCTGCCGCTGACCCTTGCCAATCCCAGAAGCCAAACCGAACCTCCCCTTGATGCGTCATTTCCGCCGGTCGGGAGGCGGGCCGGCACCGGATGCGGAAGTCACTGCAGGGGCCACTGGGGAGTGTAGTCTTTGAGGCGGAAGCATTAGAGAAGCGGTCACGGCAGGGCGAGAAGCTTCACCCGAGACCCTGTACATGTTTTGTAAACGTGGTATTAAGAAAAAAAATACCAGGGGTCCAGGTGCCACGGTGGTCATTCTCTAATGACCGGGGAACGCTACCCAGAAACGGCTCCCTGGGAGGCCAATGGGAGCTGTGGGCTGTCAGTGTGCGTCTGGTTGCGCGGAGCATCCTGGGAGGTGTGGCCCCGGCGCCACGCCGAGGATGCTGGATAGTGTAGTCCCGGCACCCTACAGAAGTAGGTCTCCAGCTGGTGGCTGGAGTGACCCCTTGTTCTTTAGTGGCGCTGGTGAGTGAGGCTCCCGCGGGACCCTTGCAGCAACTGTGCCCTTCCTGGTGCAGCAAGGTAGGTCTTAAAGGCTGGTCTATGGGCTGAGGCTGGGGACGGTGCAGATGGCGGGGAGAGGAGGTAGTGGTGGGGACACGCTGTCGTGGCTCAGGCCGTGCTCTCCCGGATGTCTTATTTTGGGGGGTGTGGGCGCGCATCTCCGATGAACGTGGGTGAAGCTCAGCCGCAAAGCACAGTGGTGGTGGGTGCTGGGCTTGGGCCTTTCGTCCAAAGGTTCCTGCGGTTGGGGACAGGTTCGGCCTTGGCCGAAATCCGCGATGTTGAGAGAGGGGGTCGCTCATGTCACAACTCTCCGGGTTTGCGGGGAGTTCAGTAAGTAGCCTTTGGGGGGCTGATATTTCCTAGGTGGTGGCGTGAGAGCCGTCCCTGGGGACATGTGTCCGGAGTTTCGGTGGGAGGATGTTGATCGTCCTTTTTTTGGGTCCAGCTACCCCTCACTTTTGCCGAGGCGAGGCGACAGGCAGGCTGGCTTGGCCAGACGTGCCCGAGTTGCACTGGGTGTGGAGTGGCCATTTTGGCGCGATCCTAGGCTCTCAAATTTGGCTGGTCGCCCCAGGGTTCCGGCCATGGAGGAAGAGGTCGGGTTAGGGTGCACTAGGCAAGTTTTTCAAAGGTCCCAAGGATCCTCACTGACCACAGGAATCACAGATTCCCACATAGCTGGTGTGAACAGCCTTTGGAATTTGAAGGTCCATTTTAACTTTTTATGATGGAGAAATTTCAAACAGTCAGAAGTAGATAGAACTCCATAGACCCGTTACTCAAATTCAGTGCTTATCACCTTATGACCAATTTTGATTCTTCTCATAATGCACACACTGAGAATCCTTACAACCCACAGAGATTAGCAGTCACTGCCCTTACTGGTTAAGAATATGGCCTCTACAGCCAGATCTCATCCAGGCTCAGTTATTTCGTAGCTGTGCCATCTTGGGCAAGAGACTGACCTCTCTGTGTCTCAGTTTTCCCCTCTGTAAAATGAAGATAAGAAATAGTACTTCACTGGGTGAGGAGAATCGGTGAAACTCCTACAGTACCTGGAACAGTCACTGGTATATACTCAGTGCCCAATAAGTACTATTAAGAACAAAGGTGAGGGAGGATCAGCTCAGCTCATATTCAGTGTCAGCAGCGTGTCAGGGCAGGCTGTGTTCCCAGCAAGCTGCCCACAGTCTTTTCTTCAGGGATAGGCCCATTCCTTTGAGGAGGAGGAGGCCCTACCCTACTGGAGCCGAGGGTTTCCAGTTACTCTTCTGAACCTTTTTTGTTCTTGATCTGCCCCCTGCAGCCCCTGCCTGCCCAGAGAGGACTGCCTGGTGGGCAAAGAGAGGACTCCCGGGCTCCTGACAGTCCAGCTTCAGGTGGGGACCCCTTCCCATTTGCATGCCGGACCTCGGTGGGTTTCCTTTGCTCAACTTTGACATCTTGTGCCCTACAGTGTCCCATTCGCAGGAAAACAAGGTGACAGTTTTCACAGGGACTATTCTTCAGACCTTGTGTCCTCATTCGTGACCCTTTGATTTCTCCATGCCTCTCTGCTTCAGTATAAACTCTGTTGATTGAGCTCAGATGCAGTCCCACTGGAAAGCATTCCTGGATTTCCCCCAGGGAATACTTCCAGTGTGTCCTTGTCAGCAGCAGAACATGCGACACTGTCAGGACTCTTGGGCTCTCAGGCTGCATTGTGACTGTCCAGCTGTCCCTCTGGATTGGGTACCTCATCCTTTTCCTCTTGAGTCACTGGCACCTGGTTAGGCTAAGCGGGTGATGTAGTTTGAAGACTCGCGTTGTCATCCTCGCTGGCTGGAAGGGACGTTCACGCTGGCCGGGCGGGGCGGGGGGTGTTATTGGAAAGGCGTGGGTTGGTCATTGTTGGAATGAGCCCTAAATGACAGGTTAGTGAGTGTGGCCTGGATCTGAGGGCAGGGGGGAGCCTAGAGCAGTGACATGATTGCCCCCTCCAGCTATGGCTGTATGTCTTTCCTTTCTGTTAGAGCTAAACTTGAAAGAATTGTCCCTGCTGCTACCTCCATGTCTATCCTTCCTTCATCTCTTAAATATTCCAATGAGGCCTAGTCAGCTCTACCCACTGAAAAACATTCTCATGGAGGTTGTGCATCTCGTGGCTAATGGCCACAGTCAGTTCTCAGCGACATTTTACATTGTTGCATCGTACTTCCCTCTTAAAATATCCTTTCACATGGTGGCTCCTGGTTTCCAGGTTTTCCTTTTACCTCATAGGCCGCTCCTCCTGTCCCTCTTCCCAGCTTTTCTTCTCCCAAACCCCCACTGTTCTTGGACTTTTCATCTTCTCCAGCCACACTGTCTCCATGGTGGCCCCATCTCCTCTCAAGGCCTTCAATGCCATCTCTCTGAGGTTCAGCCTAGGCCTGTGCCTTTCAGCCCAGATTCCAGTCTCCTGCTGTCTACTTCAGATTTTCTCTCGGATATGTCTTCAGCATCTCAAACCTAATGTGTCCAACAACAAACTCTGATCACCTCCCCAAACATGCTCTACCCCAAGAGAATATAGACCACTCTTTCAGGGACTTTAGCTCTAATAGGGAGCAGAGACATGACATCTTCCTTCAGATTGCTCAGTGTCAAAACCTTGGCCTTTTTATACTCCATCCCTACTAAGCAAATCTGGACTCACACACACAATCTCCAACCTCTGCTGCTTCCACCGTGGCCCAAACCACCACTATTTCACCTGGCTCACCTGGATAATCATATCTCTTGAATGATCTCTTTGCATCTTCCCTCATCCCCCCTAAAGTGTATTAGTAAGTACAGCAACCAGAGGGATCTTTTCAAATGTCAATCAAATCATGTCATGCATTTGCTCAAAACCTTCTAGTGGCTTCTTATCTCAGTCAAAGTCAGAATCAGTATCCTACAAAGTGGGGTATGATCTCCCCCCATGTTTACACTTGAACTTTCTCTTTCCTACTCAGTCTCAAGCACAGCACACCAGCCACAGTGAACTCTGTACCTTGACCATGCACTGGCTCTTGCCTGTGTTGCTCAGCATACCAGCCCCAGTGAACTGGCTCTTTTCAGACCTACCCACTTGGCTCACTCCTTCACATGCTTTAGATGTTTACTCTGTCACCTTTTCAGAGGGGCCATGCCTAACCACTATTTAAAATTCCAAGCCCCACCCCATTAAAAATAAATAAATAAATAAATAAATAAATAAATAAATAAAATTCCAAAACCCCACCCTGCTTCTGTTACTTTTCTCCTTCCCTGCTATATTGGTCTTCATCTCACGCATCACTTCCTGATGTACTGTGTGTTTTACTCATTAATTTAGAATGCCCATCTTCCTCCTCTGGACTTTTGTGTCAGTGAGGGCAGGTGTTTTTTTTCTTTGTTCACTTTTATATCCCCAGTGTCTAAAATAGTGCCTATCATACAGTAAAAGCTTAATATTTTACTGAATGAGTGAATGATCCAACTGTATGTACGTAGAGCTGATTCTGGGAGGAAGGGATGAGGCTGACTGGAATGCTGGGAGAGGGTCTGCAGACCCTACCAGGAGGGACTATGGCCATTGTCCTCCTTCCCCAGCAGGTATGGGAGTGGGGAGAAATTGAGAGAGTTTTCAGAGGTAGAATCAGTCAGCCTTGGTAATGGGCTTTCTATGGCAAGTGGGGAAGTAGTCCTGGTGTCTGAGTAAGGCACATGGGCGAGAGGGAAGGTGCTTCTGTCATTAAGAAAGTTGAGGAGGGAGAAGGCATGGCATGTCTGGAAGTGTTCTGATTATTGATTGCTGCACAACAAACCACCCCAAAACTTAGTGGCTCAGAAGAATCAGCATGTTATAATTTCTCACAATTCTTTGGGTTTACTGGGATCAGCTTTGTGGTTCTTCTGCTCTGTGTGAGTTACAGACCTGGCTGTGGCCACAGTCCCTTGGGGACTTGTTTGGGTTGAAACATCAGAGATGGTTCCTTCATATATTGGGCCCTTTCTGGGTTGGCTAGAAGGCTGGGGTCAGCTGGACAGCTGGGCCTCACTCTGTCCACGTAGTATCAGGGCCTCTGTCTCTGCATGGTCTGTCTGGCAGAGGAGTTGAACCTCTTACATGGTATTTGGGCCTCCGTAGAACATAAGCTCTCTAGCCTTAAGACATAAACCTGTAACTGGCACAGTGTCACTTGGGCCGCGTTTACTGGGTAAAGCAGGAACAAGGCCAACCCAAAGGAGCTCCCAGTGTTTGAAGCTGGAATGATTTGAGCAGCCAAATAGTGATGATATTCTATTATAACCCATGGGATAAGATATGAATCCATACTGATATAAAGAATTGAATAAATTTAAAAAATGGGGGAGAAGGGACAGCTCTTGCTTACAGAATAATTAATGAATTTAAAATTAAAAAGGGAAATAGACCCTCATCATTTGGTAAATACCACAGTAATAACTACCGTGGACACATCCCACAAATGCATGCTAACATTAGTGAGTGGACATTT